ATCGAATTGTTCGTTTGAGCTTTTTGAACTTTTTTTTTCTTTTTTTTAAATTTTGATACCATATTATGCTCCCTTTTGACCCCCATTAATTTATAATACATTTTTTTCTATTTTTTTAATCACATATTTTTCAATAAAATAATATTACACATAAATCAAAATCTTTTCATTCTTTTTTTAATCACACATTCTTCAAAAAAATTCTATTTCAAAAATTATAACATCAAATAATAGGGCCAAACTAGGGCAAGTGTTGAAATTTTATAGCGTAAACTTTATAAATTGATTATTATCTTTTTGTTAGACTATATTTTGTTTTTATCGTAATTAACTAGCTCACCTCTTTGCTTTTACCGAAGCGAACACTCATGTGGATAATACTTTTGAGTTTTAAGACATTTAAGGTTAAAATTAATTGTATAACATCTACATATGAAGAGTTGTCTTAAATATAAGAATAATGTTATTCATCATGATGAATGGCAGTAATCTATGTGACGGTGTGGTCACCGTCACACTATTCAAAAAATTAAGACATATTTATTAATTTATCGATGTGATTATGGCACTAGCCTAGCCGTCACATAAACATTGTACTCAAATTTCTACGTTAACGTAAATTAAAGATTATAAAATACAGATTTACCATGGAATCTCGAACTTAAAAAGTGATCGATAATACTATCACAAAACAAGCACAAAAATCTATATAATTAACTTTCACTTCCCTCTAGAAAGATAAATATAAAATTCTTGCGTTTATGTTTTGGATTAAGACCCATTTGACTATCCATTTTTTAAAGAAGTTTGAACACTTTCTTTCTATGTCATTGCATTAAATTTTATTGCTCCTTTATTATTATTATTATTATTATTATTATTATTATTATTATTATTATTATGGATAAGATTGCATGCTTTGATTTTAAAGAATAAAGACAAGAAAAAAAAATAAAAATTCATGTGTTCCCACTGAAAAATTTTGCCTAACATAACGGAATTTGCGTTGTTTTCTTATAGAAAAAGTCATTCACTTTGCTTGTCCGCACTAGTTGATTTCCACAAGGAATAAGATTGTGCATGGTGACATGACTTTTATCCTTTTTATTGACTTAAGCCAATTAATTGATTGCATTTTTTGAGAAAAGAATCATAGACGCCATTGAGTTCATTTCTTTCAAAATTTAAACATATAACGAAAATGATCGTATTTAGTTCAAAAGATTATTAGAGATATAGTGACTTCTCCGCCTTTGAGATGACCCTATTTTGGGATAGTTTTCAAGTGACGTGGAATCATTGAGAAGTATAAACGACTAAAAAAGTAAGTGACTTTTAGCAGTTGAGACCGCTGATTCTCTATATAGAATAATAGTAAAAGCATGATCAATGGAATTAAGCAAGTTTGGTTTGAATTCAACTCAACATAATTTATTTAAATTCTTCTAAGGAGGATGTCTTCAACTTGGAGGTTAATGGATTTTTAAAGATTTATGGATTCTTATGAAGTTCATTGATTTGAATAGAATTCACAAGATTTTAACACATTTTTATCTTATAGAATTTAGTGGATTCGTTGAATTTTAATGAGTATTTTTATAATTATATATAACTTTTTAATATACCACCAAAAAATGATGACTTTGTAAATAGAAAATAAGCCCCCGTTTGACAATCATTAA